CAAAAAAAAAACTAAATATTGAGTCCTAAAATTGTTGTTTTAAAAAAATTAATTATCGACCTACGAAATTGGGGTTATGTACATATATATATAATAATTATGTCCTAGTACAAAAGATAGTCCACATTTTGGTATCTATACCAAACAAAAGCTAGGTTAGAGTGATTCTATGCTAGACTAAAGCTAAGCTACGCAATCGCCTGGAAACCCTGGCCTGCTCCACCACCACCCGAGTCGTTACTAGGGTCTCGATGCTGAGGATGAATGGTGGAACATGAGTCGTTGTTGTTGAGACGACTCATCATCTCATCGAAACTCTCCTTGTATCTCCTCTCCATTTCAGCCATTCAGGCTTCCATTTGAGTTTGGAGAGTTTGCACCCTGTGTTCCATCTGGTCTTGCATTTGAGAAATGACAGACGGCGTGTATTGCTGTGAAGAACGGGAACCTCGACCCTGTTTGCCATAGTAGAGCTCTTCACTTTGGCCAAGTCCCTTCACACGCCCCTTCTTATTGCGCCCACCCACCGACTCCCAGTACAACTCATTGGGACTCTTCTGAATCCCCTGACTCATTGTTTCTTCGAGCTTCTTCTGGTAGGTGTCCTACAAAATATTGAAGATAAAATAAAATATTGTTAAAAAAACAACCAACAATATGGAGTTATATCGCATACTTTTAGGTGCCTAAGGATAGAAATTAAGAAAATTAAGCACATAAGTCAATTTTCAACCCTCACTCATCCAAAATCATCCAAATTTGGGCTATATCGCTAAAACCATGCCTATTTTCTAAGTTTTCAAGCAAATGGACTCGTTCTTTCTTCTAACATTCCAATATCAATTGCTTTTAAGTGCCTAGGATAGAAATTAAGAGAAATAAGCACATATGTCAATTTTCAACCCTCACTCATCCAAAATCATCCAAATTTGGCCTATATGGCTAAAACCATGCCTATTTTCTAAGTTTTCAAGCAAATGTAAGGTTTCTTTATTCTAACATTCTAATATCAATTGCTTTTAAGTGCCTAAGGATAGAAATTAAGAGAAATAAGCACATATGTCAATTTTCAACCCTCACTCCTCCAAATTCATCCAAATTTGGCCTATATGGCTAAAACCATGCCTATTTTCTAAGTTTTCAAGCAAATGGACTCGTTCTTTCTTCTAACATTCCAATATCAATTTCTTTTAAGTGCCTAAGGATAGAAATTAAGATAAATAAGCACATATGTCAATTTTCAACCCTCACTCCTCCAAAATCATCCAAATTTGGCCTATATGGCTAAAACCATGCCTATTTTCTAAGTTTTCAAGCAAATGTAAGGTTTCTTTCTTCTAACATTCCAATATCAATTGCTTTTAAGTGCCTAAGGATAGAAATTAAGATAAATAATCACATATGTCAATTTTCAACCCTCACTCCTCCAAAATCATCCAAATTTGGCCTATATGGCTAAAACCATGCCTATTTTCTAAGTTTTCAAGCAAATGTAAGGTTTGTTTCTTCTAACATTCCAATATCAATTTCTTTTAAGTGCCTAAGGATAGAAATTAAGAGAAATAAGCACATATGTCAATTTTCGACCCTAACTCATCCAAATTCATCCAAAATAAGCATATATTGAGTTCTACTTTGCTAATTTGCCATATTTCAACTCATATAATAAGTGTTTACCGCAATCCTTTTTGCTTTGTTGTTGGCAGCCACTTGGCCTTTACCAGGCACTTCCTTGAAGTGTATCTTCAAGAAAAGATCATGGGCATTTGGTAATTGGCCTTGGTTTTTTGCAACCTTAATATGTACATGCAGAAAATCAATGAAAACATGTTAGCCCACCAAAATTCATTAATAGAAAAATGACGTAATTGTTACTGGACATATTGTAGGAACCTTGCCATCTTTTCAGCATGTTGTACAAATGACATTGAACCTTGAAAGTGGGTCGGTTCAACGACATTTTCCATGGATCCGCCTCTTCGGTTCTTCTTGCTTTGTTCCGACCGCTTCTGATATTTTGGATCGGTGGAAACAATTTTCATCATGCCTTCGTGGACATCCTTATTAAGCCATCTTGATTTGCGACCATTCAGCCTGTGTGTGATGTTGTAGAACGTGTCACGTAGGCGATTTGCAAACTTTTCTTCGAAAGTGTCCTTCACTTGGTTGTTTAACTCAGGTGCCCACTTGAATTTTTTCTGCAAATCAAGAAAATGTCTTTATTACAAAATTCAACTCCATCAATATAATTTATAAAACATGTATTATGTTAGGTTAAAGTTATCATACGTTGAACAAGTTCCAAAAGTGCTCTCTCGAATCTTCATCAACCTCTCCATAATTCCTCCAAGGCTGAACATAGTAGTCGGTTAGCGAGTCGGAGAGCACATTCTTCACCGGCCTATCATCAAACCTATAATAAAGGATATACATTCATGTAAGTAGATAATCAACAAAAAGTGAACAAAACATGGTTAAAGTAATACAAATTCACTTTATCAAAGTAAATACGAATTTAAGGATATTTCATTATACAAATACATACGCACCAAAGTGTGGAAGGGTCCAACTCTAGCAAGTCATTAGGATGCGGGTCCTGTAGCTCCTGTTCCTGAAGCTGCTGTTGCTCCTGTTGCCCTTGTACATTTCTGACGATTTCTTGAGAGGCCCCCAAATCATGTGCCTCCGCTTCCTCCATTGACTCATCCTCGTCAACACGTACAACCGGAGATTTCCCCTTAGACTTTCTCCTCTTGGACGTTTCTCCTTTATTTCCTCCTCCCATGATGACCACCTGAAAAAGTTATTAGTACCATAATCGCACATTGTAAATTCATAAATTAGATCCATAAGACATTAAAATAATAAAATGAGACCAAAAATGTAATGCAATATTACAAATCCGAGTAGTCATTAAAAACTAAACATTCGAAGACAATAGTAAAAGGAGTAACTACATATTCTCCTCTTCATTACTCTTATCACTACTACCACTATCATTATCACTATCATTATTACTATCACTAGTGTCATCTAAAAATACATCGATGTCCTCTTCTTCGTCACTGTCACTGGAGCCAATGCTTTCTTCTTCTTCTTCATCGCTTGAGATAATAAAGCCATCGTCATCATCATCATCACTATCAAGTTCATAGTCTGGAATGTCATTTGGTGGATTAAGCGTTGCATGTACTTGTGGGGAAGGACCCTGCAAAAACTCTAAATCCACCGGAGCATCAATCACCGACCTTGCTTGAGTTCTAAATACAGCCCACCATTGAACCCGATCACGTTTAAGGCTAGGGTAAGATGCATAATACACTTGAGACACTTGGTAAGATAAGACAAATGGATCATACTTGGGATACTTCTTAGTATGATTTACTTTGACAAGCTTGTATTGTTCATGAATGTTCATTCCTTTACCACAATCCTATCCAACTACAACTAAACAAAATAGTCTTGTACTCTTTTTCGGGACCGGTCTAGACAAGTTCAATTATGTCGTTTAAAATGCCAAAGTACTCTCCATCGTCCTCACTTGAGACACACACCCCGTAATTCATCGTAAATTTGTGTTTGCCATAGGACTGTGTGTGGAAATTAAAGCCACCGACAAATATCTGGTTCCAAGTTCGAACATGCTTGAAAGGCCTCATAAACAATGCTCGCAACACATCGGAACTTGGTTTTTGTTCTCTCACCTATAACCGTTACGAATACAAGCGTCACACTAATTGAAATGAAATATATTATATTATATTATCACAAATTAATCGAGATGCAATGTTCGAAAGGTATTGTCACCTTGTGATGAAACCAATCAGGGAATTCACTTTCGCATTTCTCCATGACATCTTCTCGACGCAAATAAGTTCGAGTACTAAGAATGTAGTCCTCAAACTGCCTAATAGATTAATGACACATGGTTAATCATTGCAGCAATTATATTAAATTTAAGGGATTTTCAAAAGTTTATCGTAAACATATATACCTTTCGTATTCACCAAGAATGCCGGTATTTCTTAAAACGAACAAATGAGCACGTTCGAGTTCCTTGTCATCTAAATACCGAGTTTTACCCAAATTTGACACACGACCCTTATCCACCGTGAACAACTCTGGGATTTCATCGTTGTCAGCCGGGGATTCCACATCAGCATTCACATTTCGACCTAGATCTCGTGTTTTTGTGTCAATTGAGGGCTGAAAGTAATTGGAGCAGAAGTTTGATATCTCTTCAGTGAGATAAGTGTTGCATATGGAACCTTCAACACGAGCCTTATTACCAATTTTTCGTTTCAGGTGATTGAGGAACCTGTAATTATGTTTATGTAGCCGTAGAAGTATAAGTAACGGAAATCAATGAAAGAGATGAAAGTAAGAGTTGAGAAAGGACCTTTGATTTACCTTTCGAAAGGATACATCCACCGATATTGAACAGGTCCACATAACTTGCCCTCATATGGCAAATGAATTGGTAAATGCTCCATGGAGTTGAAGAAAGATGGGGGAAAACCTTCTCAAGCTTGCACAGGATCTCAGCTATGTTTTTTTCCAATCGCTCCATGTCGCTAACTGTAATTGTGTAGCAACATAAATCGCGAAAGAATTGGCTTATCTCTGTAATTGCATTCCATATATGGGTAGGGAGCAATTCTCTCAAAGTAGTGGGCAACAACCTCTCCATGAACACGTGACAATAAGGACTTTTCATTCCATGTAACTTACCTGATTGCAAATCAACGCATCGGCTCAAATTGGAAGCGTAACCATCAGAAAACCGCAGCTGCTTGACCCACTCACACAAAACCTTTATCTGAGCCTTGTCAAGAGCAAATGGAGCCTTTGGCATGAATTCTTTTCCTCTATCATCCTCTTGAAGATGTAGCTGGGGCCGTTTACAGTATTTAGCAATGTCATTCCGAGCTGATGGGGTGTCACAAGATTGCTTTTTCACGTCCATTATAGTGTGAATCAACTGATCAAAAAAGTTTTTTTCAACGTGCATGACATCTAAGTTGTGACGAAAAAGCAGATGTTTCCAATATGGAAGGTCCCATAGAGTGCTTTGCTTGAACCACCTTTTTTTTTGCATTCTTGACACGTTTCAGTGCCTCGGGGCCATCTGTTGCTTTCGGGAGGTTTTTCACACATTCCCAAAGTTCCTCTCCTGACATGATGTGAGGTGGTGAACCTTTTTCGACTTTGTTTTTACAAAATGCATTTTTACTATTTCGAAAAGGATGATTTGTCGGAAGGAATTGACGATGGCAGTCAAACCAAGAAACCTTACCACAATTTTCGAGCCAAAATGCTTTGCTTTTCTCCATGCAATATGGACAAGCCTTATTACCGGCTGTGGTCCAACCAGATAACATACCATAAGCCGGGAAGTCACTAACGGTCCATAGGATGGCTGCTCGAAGATTGAAATTTTGTTTTCTCGAAATATCGTAAGTATTTGCCCCAACTTCCCACAACTGTTTCAACTCGTGTATGAGCGGCTGCATGTAAACATCCAAGTTGCCCTTAGGGTTTTTAGGACCAGGAACGAGTAATGAAAGAAACATGAATTGTCTTTTCATACACATTGACGGAGGCAAGTTATAAGGGGTCAAAATGACAGGCCAACATGAATACTGTCCCCCAAACCGACCATGTGGAGCAAATCCATTCGTACATAGGCCAAGTCGAACATTACGAGGTTCAGAGGCAAACTCAAGAAAGCAACTATCTAGGTGTTTCCACGCTTCACTATCGCTAGGGTGTGCCATTGTGCCTTGAACTCGAGGATTTTTAGCATGCCATGTCATTTCCTCAGAAATGTTTTTAGTTGCAAAAAGCCTTTGCAACCTAGGTGTGATAGGGAAATAAAATAGAACATTCAAAGGCACTAAGCTACCTTTAGAAGTCTTCTTGTATCGGTCGCTGCCACACACCCTACATGTAGATAATTGAGCATCATCTTTCCAAAACAACATACATCCTTTCGGGCATGCATGAATCTTTTCATAGGGCAGCTCTAACCCCTTAACAATTTTCTTGACCTCATAGAATGTCTCGGCCATGTGGTTGTTGTTAGGAATCGCTTCATTAACCAAAGAAGCAAATCCATCAACACATCTGTGCGGCAAATTATACTCACACTTTAGGCTAGTGATTCTAGAAGCCATCTCTAACACAGACAATGATCTCCCTTCGTACAACGGTTGTTCAGAAGCCCTTAACAAATCAAAAAATGGCTTGGCTTGTGCATTAGGCTCCTCCTCTAATGAAACAGGTGGCTCTTCGGAATGGCCTTGATCTTGAGACTGACCAAAGGCATCCAAAACCATTTCACGATATTCATTTGACTCCCTTCTACGAGTTTCTGGAAACCCTTCCCCATGACACATCCACTCGTAGTAATTAGGTAAAAAACCGCTGCGATACAGATGAAGTTTGACCGTATCTGGATCCCAGAGACGTTTGTTTTTGCATTTAAAACATGGACACCTAACTTCATTCGGGTTGCTACTCTCGAGATGATCTTCCACATATTTAAGGAATTCATCTACCCCCTTTAAGAACTCAGGATTAATAGAATTCCCAACCTTCCTTTCGTACATCCAGCTACGTTCTTTTCGTTTCATGATTACAAGTTCTACACAACTAACACATATGCCATTAATCACATTAGTCATAAAGCACAATATATATTCATTGTAGATCAAACTGTTATGGAAATGAAAATTAGAAGAGAAATGATTTCCAAGGGTCCTTATCACTCCAACCTAACCCATCCTTGTACGTTCAATCTAACATATTTCTAAAAAAAACTAAACTACAATAAGGTACTTTATATTAAAATAAATTAAACTAAAACACATTACATTAACATAAACTTAACTAAACTACATTATGTTAAACTAAACTAAACCAAACTAACATTATATTGTTTTTTTAAAGAGAAGGGAGCAATTAATTACTTATAAGAGATCACCAATGTCACTAAATTAACCAAACTAAAAGTTATTGAATATCTAACAACCAAAGTAAGATACACATATACATTATATTAGGGTTTGTAATGTAACTAACCTTTAGATCTGCACTTCTTTTTAACAATTAAACCAACAAAATTGTACAAATCCTACAACAAAATTAAAAAAAAAAAATAATTAAGGGTTTATAAGTAAACAAAATTAAATTGAAAAAAAAGGGGGAAAGCAAAGGCAACTTAATGTCAGGCGGAGGTGGGGCGTCGCCGGAAACAACCAAGGGCCGGTGGGTTCAGTCACGGCTTGGGGACGGAGGTGCGGCTGCGTTGTGGGTTCAATAAATTTTACCATGTTATTCCAGTAGTTTTTTTGCAAAAAAAAAAAATTAATTGACAATTGCACACACTTACCTAGACGCGGCGGCTCGCCGGAAACCACCATGGCTCGAAAGCTCGCCGGAAACCTTCCTCCCTTCCTCCTTATCTTTCTCTTTCCCGTTCTATTTCTCCTCTCTCTTTCTTTCCCGTTCTTTTTCTCCTCTATATTTCCCGTTCTCTTTCTCGGCCGCTGATGTGCAGGCGTCACCGGCGTAAACAAATCACCACCGCCGCCGCGACATTCTCCTCTCTCCTTCTCTCTCTCCTCGCGCTGCTTCACTTCTCTCTCTAATTTTCAATTATTTCCCCCTTTTTTTAGGGCAAGGTCGCAATTTCAATTTTGAAAAAATGACAGTAGAATTTACGACGGAATATTCCGTCGCAAAACACTTTACGACGGAATATTCCGTCGCAAGTTTTAAATTACGACGGAAATAAATTCCGTCGTAAATTTTACGAGGGAAAAAGCATCGTAATCGAAATTTTCCGTCGCTAAATTGCGACGAAATATTTTCCGTCGCAAATATCCACCTTTACGACGGAAAATCATATCCGTTGTAAGCATTCCGTCGCAATTTAGCCTATTTCTAGTAGTGGGTTTGGTTTGGTTTTTCAAAAATTATAAACCAAACCAAACCGTAAATCCGTAAACCACATTTTAATATTTAAATAATTTTTAAATAAATTAAAATAGTTATTATATATTATAAAAAATTTAAAAAAAAAACAAAAAAAAACATGAAAAATCATTAGAAAACTACACGGTCAGTATACTACTATAATCTATACTCAATCTCAAATATCAATACTTAAAATTTAATAGGTCATATAACTATAATGTAGTATGATGTAGTATGAATTATTTTTTTGGACAAATGTATTATGTTTTTTTCCACTGTTAATTTGTTATGTATTATTTTTATTATGTGTTATTGTGTTATCACTTAGCACTTGATTAGTTGGTTGTTATTTTTATTAAAAATTTGTAGTAGAATTTAATCCCTTTGGCGAATTATTTGAACTTTATTATAAATTTATTAATATTTGACAATTTTTAGGAAAAAATGTCATCTCATCATAAACCGCAAACCAAACAGCACCAAACCGCATTATTACGGTTTGGTTTGGTTTGGTTTCAATACTAATATGGTTTGATTTGGTTTAGACTCAAACCACACCAAACCAGACCATGTTCACCCCTAATTCAAACTATATACTTGGAATACGACTAATAAGTATTATGTCTTACCTAAATTATCAGTCTAGTCATCTAGCCGTCACACCTGCCAAGTATGAGCATGTTGGTCGATGTATATATATACAAATCATTCTGTAACGTTATACATGTAGTATGTATAAAGACTTAGTCTACTAAATTAAAAATTAACTCTCCTAATAGAGCTACTACAAGTCTAAATTTAACATACAACGATATTTCATCAAGAGGGTACTAAATGTCCTACATTAGTGATTTTATAAGGGTTATGTTTAATAGTGAAACCCATACATACTCAAAGTTAATGTGTAAAAAAAAAAAAGTTAGTGTTTTAGAGGGCACTAAATATCCTATATTATTATATAACTATATTATGGTCTGTTCACTTCAGCTTAATTTCACTTCAGTTCAGCTCCTAATCTCATTCTCTCATGAAATATTCATTTCAGTTCTATTCAGTTCAGTTCAGCTCCAATCGGTTCAGTTCAGTTCAGTTCAACTTCAATCAGTTCATTTCAGTTCAGCTCCATTCAGTAAATATGAACAGACCCTTAGTGATTCTTATAAAGGTTATGTATAATAGTGAAACCCAGACATGCTCAAATGTAATGACCTATTTAGGGTGTTTACGACAATACTATTTAGATCAATAAATAAAACATATAACATACTAATTTTTTTTATTTCCAAATTAACATACATGCTGCGAAAGTTACACTAGTCAACTTTTTATGTTGTCTGCTTTTTTTTTTTTTTTTTTTTTTTGGTTTATTGGACTCATGAATCATGATGATATTTAATTACTAACTCTCTCTTAGATTCATATTAAACTACCACAAGAAAGTTTAAATTTAACTTTTGTTGCCTGTCAAAAATAAAATAAAATGTTTCACATCCAAAAAAAATACAAAAAAGAAAAATTAAAATTGTAATGCCAAGCGGGCCACTGCTTTGCATTGAATTGCAAGTTCGCAACTAATCAAAGATTCCTCGGGAGCAAATCAAGGGACCATAAGCCTATTAATTTCCTATTTGCAAGCAACAATATAGTTTAATATATAGCTCGTACGTACCAAACATAATTAATTAAATAGCTAATAGTCTAATACCAATAATTTTTATTAATCGAAGTTTAAGTATGATCTTATACATACATTGCATTTCAGACAATAATATAACATAAGGTAAATTATTCATGTATATGTATGTCCAACAAATATGAACGTGTGTACCCAAAACATTCTTAAACAATCACAACAAAGATTTATTGGTCAGTGGTTCTCCTGAAAAAATCACATTGAATATCTTTAACAAGATTTGTTTTTTGAAAGATAATAATTATTAACCATTTCTTCGTGTGGATTAATTCAATAATCATGGATTAATAGAATTTCAACTTGTTCATTCCGGCTAGATTACGCAAGCAGAATTATTTTAGAAATTTTGTTTACTCATTTCTAAAATTTTCAAATTCTAGCTACCATTTACTTTTTATTGTTGAATGAGAATGTTTATGTATGTGTCATAAACTCATAATTACAATTTGAATGCTATTTTTGGTCTAAGTTAAAAGGTAAAATTTATCTTCTACTATATTGTGTTTGGTAGCCCCTTTCTATTACAATAAAATATTAAGGTGCTGAAAATATTAAATACTCCTTATTATGATGTACTCGTATATTTGTACTTTGTATGAGAATGCCTTTAAACTTAAGGTGTTAAATGGACTTAAATTTTCCATCTAATCTATCTTTACAAAGGATATCTTTTTATTTTTTCCTAACTAGAAAATAAATTCTCAGTTAAAATCTACCAACATTTTTAGGCTATAAACACAATTCTTAAACCAAAGCCCAAAACACAACAACGGAAACATAAGTTCAAATATTATTTTTGTTTAGGTGCAAGTGTGAGTGGTGTTTGTTTGTCTCACATTGAAAAAGAAACAAAGGGCTTTCAGTTTATAACCCAAATGGGCTACTCCTTTTACTGCCAATTGGTTTTTAAATAGAATTAACCTCGGTATGGGCTCTAGTTTATAGGCTTCTAACAAACTGATATCCGAGCTAGGCTAGTTGCACCGTATGATAAGGGGCACCATCTGTGTTAGGCCTTATGACATTAAGGCTAAGGACCGTCTGCCTCTAGGTTTCTCTCACAATTAATACGATAGTTCTAGGAAGGAGGGAGCAACAACCTTGCTCACATAAAATGTGAAAAAAAAAAAAAAAAATCAAGAATAACCACTTTTGGTAATAGTATCAAAATTTTGAAAGGAAGTCCAAGACTAAGTAACCATAAAAAGCCTTTTGTTGATTTTCCATAGTCCTAAAAGGTGTATAGACTTGCTTTTTAAGAAGAAAAGACAGTGTTTATAGATTAGTGTTAGCTAATAAACAAGTTATTGCATATGTATAAAGACGATAGCAATATCATCGATCTATGGTGGTCCGTCCAAATTGCGTACTTGAACCGCAGTAGAATTTATGTGTATAATTCATTGTTATATTAAAGTAGATCACAAAAATGGAAAATAGAAAAATATTACACACAAATTTTGCAGCTTTTTCTATATCTACCAACTACACCCAATAAGATTTTACAAGAGAAAATAAGAAAGGTGATTTTCAATTTTTTCATATGACCAAGACTTGGTAGTTGATGATGGATTAGTATGATGGTAGACTGGTTGTGTGTTTCATGTATTGTGTTCTCAATATTCCTAAATATTTACTAGTAAAATAATAATTTTGATTTATAAATTTAAAAAGGTTGTATGCTTTTAATATAAAAATACAATAACCCCACCATTAACAATCATTTAATAAAAGTATGTTGCAATTTTATGGATGATTTTCTTTCTCAAAGACTCAAAGTGGAATGGTATTATGGTCATGGACCCAGGTCATATTATAGATAGTCTCATAAACATTCACATCTATGTATATATGTATGAACTCCATATCCATTATTACTCTTAACTTTTTCTTTTTGTGGCTTGACTTGAATGTGATTGAATAAAACTTAGTATGAACTATGAATTGACCAAAGCAAAGTAT